CAGGTGTTGACCCAGGTGTGCACAAATTATTTTCCTTTTAAGATATTATTCTATCTAATTTTTTTACTGATATAGTTGATAAACATTTTTGATTTAATAAAAAGGTAAATTCAAGCACAATATTATTTATTCGTCATGTCATGTGCTTTAGCTTTTTTTATTATTTTTAAAAAAAATATATTTATTGTATATTTTATACTCTATTTGTTTAATTTTGGTAGTTTTAGATTTTTTATCCACTAAAATAAAAGTGCAATAATTAATTAATAAAATTTTGTTAACTTTGTTAACTCTATTTTTTTCCCTCATACTTTTCATAATAAACTCTAATTTTGTCTTTTCATTTTAATTTTTTTGAAATTTAATATAGAAATGAAATCCGTCTTTTTTTCCAAACTTTTTTACGAGGAGAGTTTTCTTAACCTTCTATTTGTAACACAAATAGTTCACAATCTTTTGAAAAATGTCCACCACTAGTCCTTCCGTTAGCTTGGAAATTAAATCTAGCAAAACAACTACTTTGGATGAGTTTCTGGGAAGATTGACCAGAGAAGATGTTCTAGTCTTTGACTCTCTGTGGTTCTTTTCAGGTTAAATGTTAATTTTAGTTTTTAAATTTTTAATTTTAAATATTTTTAGCCCTTAAATTATTTTTTACATATTTTTATTCCTAAATTATGAAAAATGCATTTTTATTATTTCTGTTAGTTAACCATTAAATTTGTTTATATATATACATTTTTTGTCCCTAAATTTATATGTTTAGAGATTAAAAATATATATATTATAAATTTAGAGATTAAAAATGTACATATTTGGATTGACTTAGTGGAATAACTTACAAAAGAACAAAGAATATGCATTTTTTAACAAAATTTATATATATAAAGAAAGGAAATATATATATTATAAATTTAGAGATTAAAAATGTACATATTTGGATTGACTTAGTGGAATAACTTACAAAAGAACAAAAAATATGTATTTTTTAAAAAAATGCAAAAAAAAAAATTAAGGGACTAAATTTGTTTAAAATTAAAAGTTGAGAGACTAAATTTGACATTTAAATTTCTTTTTATTTTTTTAACTTAATTTTTAATACAATTAAACAAATTTAGATTATTTTAAATGTTATTTACCATTTTATCACATTATTTATTTATTTATTTTATAAGTGTCACGTCGTCAATTTATAACTCTATTAATCCCATACATCTAAAATAAAAAATTCAATAAATGGAAGACACGTGTCCAATTGGATCCATTTATTGGTCTAAATTGTGCCATGTCAGTGAGCTTATAGTGTTCATTGGGAACTAGTGTTGCTGTAGTCCGCAGTTCAGACCGTGGTTTTGGCGGAAGGTAAGAAGAGTTTCAAGTGAAGTGAATCTTATAAATTGATTGCATTATACTTCAATTAAGTGACTTAGAGAGATTTTAGAAAGCAATCAAATTAGGGTTAATTAGAGTTAGTTAAGAGATCAAACACTGCTGACAGACTTGGAGTAAAAATAGGAAGTAGTTGTTGCTAGAGTGTGGAGAAAGCTAGCCATGCACAGAAGGAGAAGAAAATGTGGACCAGAGATCATAGGAAACACCTCTAGTAGCAAGGTAAACCATCTCCTTTGACAAGATTTAGTTTCTTCAAGCTTGCTCCTCTAAAAAAGCGCCTAGCTTGCTTGTTCTTAGCTTTGAATTGATCTACTAGTTTTTTGCACATATTCCAAACTTCAGTTCATAGATTTCCTGTTCATCATTGTATTCTTGCATCTTCAATTATTGAACTTGGAACTGAACTGGTCTTGTAATTCGGGTCTCTCCTGTTTATTTGGTTAGTGATTTTTGATGACTTTCATTAAGTGTTTGATTTTAGGATTGCTTGTTTACTTCCATCACGATTTCATCTATGAAAAGTTCATGCTTCTTAGAAGTCGTTTTCTTTGGATGTTTGATTAATAGCAGATCTCAACAATTTTCAAATTTCAGTTAAAGTTCTTAGCTTTGATTCTCACATAGATTGGTTAATTTTAATCTTGTTTGGAAATAATCTAAATCAATTTTTGGAATTAGACCTAGTTTGCATTATGGTTTAATTTAGTATTCAATCTTCAAGTAGATTAATAGATTTTAGGTTAATATGGAAATTATTTTGAAGTTAAATTTTGAAATTCAACTTGGTTTGTGGAATCATAGTTGTGGTCTATAAGTCTGCCCACTCATTTGTCTAATGAATTTATTTCAAGTGCATGTTGTTTCATTATTGTTTTAGGTTGATTTTCTAAGGATATTGTGTTTAATTTAAGATTAATGTGTTTTTGTATATATTTTCATGATTTTAAAGTCCTTAGAGTTGTTCAAGAAAATAGTAATTCATTTTGCACAACATCACCTTCCATCATACAACATTTGTAGCACAAAACAATTCATAAATAAACGTCATTTTTAACCATCCTACTTGGGGGTAGATCATTAGAAAGGGGAAGGTCATCAAAGAAATCATATTTTCTTGTTTTTAGATAAAGTAAGTGACACACCGTAAACCTAGACTTATGTAATAGGGGCAAACCAAAGATCTTTGAGGAAACACAATTGTAATTTTAATTAGCATAAAATCCGTTTTTGTTTTTAACTTTCTGACACGAAGTAGTTTCATTCTTAACCTTATTTTTGTAACACTAATAGTTCACAATCTTTTGAAAAATTTCAACCATTAGTCCTTCATTAGCTTGGAAATTAAATTTAGAAAACAATGATTTGACAAATAGTGAGCCCTTAACAAACCCTTCAAGTAGAGGGAAAGGAAAATATAAAAAAAAGGCTTGCATTTGTTTTTTCTCACATTCATGTCATATAGTGGTCCCACCTTTGAGAGCCCCACTATTCACCACATCATCACCCCTCTATTAGTACAGTTTTAAACTAAATATCAAATAGATTTAACACCCAAGTTGATCGAAGAAACAATGGCAAACCTTTTTGAAAACTTTAAGACTATTTGTGGCCTGAAATGAAGGATGAGGATGAAATTGTCCCATACAAGAAAGGAAAAGAGGGATTTATTTTTTTATTTTATTTTGGTTATGATTTTGAATACCAATTTATTTTAATTACTAAATTTCACAAATTGTATTTTATTGCCTTTAAACACCCATTTAACTAAACCATGCAAAAAGTTTATAGGTTAAAAATCTTTTTTTTTTTTGGGCAAAGTAATGTTCACGGGGCGCGATGTAGGCATTGACATGAAGTTTCCTTAAGAAAACTAAGAAACTTCCCTTTGATTTGCTTTTGGAGAATTCCAGACCAATTTTTGAGAAAACAAACTTTTTTGACTAAAATGATAAAAGATCGATAGCTAATAGTCCAATACTAAATTTTGCAAAAAAAAAGGTCGAGGGCGGCAATGCAAACGATGTCGTCTGTGTTTTTGGTCTTCAAATCCTCACGATCCCTGCCCGACGGTCTAAATTCCAGTCGACACAACTCTCAATCCTTCCCCCGAACAAGGCCATGGCGTTGGCGCCACATCTCAGCCAAGGCATCGCTAAATACCTATACATTTTCGGAGCAGGTAGTCTTTCACTAATTTCCTCAGTCCCGGCCTCGCCGTCTGGGCACTTCTGATTTGATTTTGTGTTGTAATGTTTGCAGGTTACGTTACCACTGTCCTGATCCATAATGGTAAACTATCAGATTTGCTCGGCGAATTGCAGGTATTCTTGTTAAACTATGTTTCTCTTCTCTGTTTTCTTCACTGGGTTGTTACCCGGCTGTCACTTTATGGAGTTTGTTTGATGGGCTAGTACTTTTGTTTTATGAATTTGAAAAGATTGAAATTTTTTAGGTTCTCTCGATGTTGTCTCCAAAAATGATGTCTTGCTGGTGCTTCTTTTTTACAGTCATTGGTCAAGAGAATAGAAAAATCTGGGGATGAATCAGATGATTACTCTGATGCTATAGCTGCTCAGGTATTCTCAGAGTACAGTCTAACTAAATACTAAGTTGGTATCTCTGCTTTTGTTTAGGGTGCTATGTTCTGTTTAAATGCTATTTGGTTATGGTTTTTGTTGTTTTGTGATGTCCTATAGATGCATCGCTTGGGGATGGAAGTTAGGCAGCTGGCCTCAGCAGGGCAGATAACTCTTTTGAATGGGGGATCTGGAGGTATCTCTGATGATACTTACAAAAATAGTTCTTTAAAGTTAACTATCTGCTTCCTATGGCAATGAAGAAATAGCTTTGTGATTTCTAGTGGGTTGTGCCTTTTTTTTTTTTCCCAGTTTAACAGTTAAGGGAAAGATAAAGCATTTCTTATTTGTTATAGATTTTACTTTATTTAACATTTCTTATGGGGTTTGAGCAGGCAACTTAATCCCTTTATTAGTTCCAGCTGCTGCAATAGGGGTATTGGGTTATGGTTACATGTGGTGGAAGGTATGTTATTTAAATATTGGTATGCTTCAATTTTATTGATATGTATTCTTTCTGATACTGAGTTTTATGTCTCATATTTCTTTGTTTATAGGATTTGTTATATTTCTCTATAAAATTGCCCTTCTCCAATATTAACTTTGTATTTGGGTGCTTAATTCTGATTCAAAAATTTCAGTACAATTCTTTTTAATTATTCATTTTAGTTCCATCAAAAGATTGACTATGGCTTCCTTCTAAAATCAACTGTGGCTTATTGATTTAGCCACTATTTATTTTTTTCTCCTTTATAGAATCTAATTCTGTTGAGTAGTGGCTTCCATTTTTGTTTTTCCTTTTTGCCATTTTTGTAGGTCTTACAGACCTAACTTGTTCTTTTGTCTGTCTCATGCCTTTTGAATAAGTAGGGTATGTCATACAAAGATCTTTTGTGGATAACAAAGCATAATGTGACTACTGCTGTTGAGAACTTGTCAAAACATCTGGAGTCTGTTTCAGATGCCTTATCTGTAAGTTTGTGTTTTCTCTATTGCTTTTTCTTTGTTTAGGTTTCCATAAAGTAGGTTCTATTGGATGTATATTGCTTGAAAAGGATATTATAGATTTTATTTGCATTTTTTTTCTTAGAATCATCTTTTTACATTCTAAAGTCTAAACCACTGACTGTGCTTATAAATCTCCTTTTTGACAGAAAGCAAAGAAGCATTTGACAAAACGAATTCAAAAGCTGGATGATAGAATGGAGACACAAACGGAAATCTCGAGAAATGTTCAAGCAAATGTAAGTGGAAAAAGTTTCTCATCCCACTTTAATTAAAGTTGTTTATACATCTAGTTAGTTGTGAATTCAATCCCTGTGAGTTATGTGAGTACTTCAGTGAAGGTCCAGTTCCTAACCTTTTAGTTATTTATTTATTCTTACATTTTTGTATAGGTTGTTATCATCTATCATCAGTTACCCTGTTGCTAGGCAGTTCAAACAATTTTCTTCCCCTTTTTTTTGGATATGAATTAAATCAGTGGAATTTGTGTTGCCAGCTTTATTGAGTTTGAAACTGTGCAACAGGTGGAGGCAACCAGCAATACTCTTTCTGATTCTAAATATCATTTGGGTGAGCTGCAGTATTTGATTTTTGGTTTGGTGAGTTTTATCACTTTTTTGTTTTGTTGTTCATCTGTAGTTCTGCCTTAGGTTCCTTATTATTTCTAAACAAGACATCAGGTTCATTACTAAAATTATAAGTTTTTTCTTTAAAAGAAGAAACAACTGAAAAGAAGAAAATCCTCTTGTTATTTTTTCTAACATGAGTCATTGTCTTAATATTTTCACAAGCAGTAATGCCTTTGGAAGTATTTGAAGCTCCTTTCTGTTTATGCACATGCACCTTTTTCTTCCCTATAATTTTTAATCAACTTGGCATTGTTGCAGGATGGAAAAGTGGACTCTGTGGAAACGAAGCAGGTAAAACAACTGATGTTTTTGTTTTTGAGCATGTGAAATCATGTTGATTCTGTTTGAGTGGTGAAATGCTGAATATTTTATTTGTGAGCCTACCTGTGTAACAGGAAAAAGAAAAAAAGTCATTCCAAGTATTGTGATGAAGTATTCTTGCAAAAAAAGAAAAAGTATCATAATATATATATATATATATATATTTGGGATTTACAAATATGGTTTTCTTGTCACAGGATTTTACAAGTATATGTGTCCATTACCTGGTCCAAAAGTTTGGTGCAGAGAAAATTCAAATACCCAGCAATCTGCAGGTCGAATATGGCTGGCATGCAAATTTATTTTTGCTTTCTACCTTTGAGTTCTTTTATGGATTCCATTTTAATCATCTGGTTAATGAGTGAAAGTTATTCACACCTATCATTCTATCAATCAAAAGGATAAATTTATATATTAATCTTACTCTTTATGAACTGTCTTCCTGCTAACCTTGCTGATATCTAGTTATCAAGATTGTTGCATTTTGATTCTTGCTCTATATGGCTCATTTCAATTTCCATCATTCAATAATTATGTTGTCAAATCTAACTATATAATTTCTCATTTTTTTTCCAGGAGCAGCTTAAACTTTCTACCAACTCACATAATCTCCTCCAACATTCTAGGACTCCATCATCAAAGGTACCTTTTTGCATTAAGATGGTTATTCTTATCTTGTTTGTCTCAAGTGGGAGGGCTTGAGAAAATGTTCTTTGGGGAGCCAAGAACATCACTTGTAGTCTGTTCGGTATAGCAGTTAAAATTCATGGATAAAGGTAACAGGTAGTGGTTGGCAGATGTTGATTGGAATAACCATTTGGTTATATAATATTTAGCGATTGTTATTTAGCATTAATAACAACTAATATAGACCCACGAGCGGGTGGATGAGTTGGCAGGGACTCTTCCAGCTTAACCAGAGGTCTTGGTTTCAAGCCTTGGGAATGCAGCTCCGTTAAACCTCATGAGGGAGAGCTTTGCCGCCCATTGGGTCCTGCCCAGCTCGAATCCAGATTAGTCGGTGGCCCAATGGCTTCCGGATATTGGGTGGTCCATACCAAAAAAAAAAAAAACTAATATAGACAAATTTTAAAAAGTAGTTAATTTTGTTAATTTTTTCTTTTTATATTTCCTATTATTATTAGAAGAGAAAGGTCTATCAGTACAGACTACTTTTTTTGTGCTGTTCGGGTACTGAAATTACCAAAACACCATTAATGAGTAAATATAAAGGACAGTTTTATTAAGGGTATTTTGGTAATTTCAGTACTTGGACCATACAAAAAATTGCAGTCCATATGGAAAAACACTTATCTGTTACTAAAATAATAATAGTAACAACAACAAAAACAATAACGTTATTTATGTAATCACAAATTAAACACTCTTTACCATCTTTTAGTACAGAAAATAATTTCTTATTTTCAAATATAAGAAAAGAAACCAAACTTCTTTATTAATTAATTTTTGTACTCATTGGTTAACAAAATTTGTTAAAGAAAAAATTGTGCAGTAATGAAAATCAATTTTAGGTCAGTTTTGCTGACCAAATGCAACATAAATATAACAATGTGACTGGAGAAGTTTGGTGGAATATGAAAATCAAAGAAAAGTTTTGTTCAGTAAAATTAGTAACTAGGTTAATCCATATAGAATTCACATCAAGCTTCCTGCTTCTGAAGGTAAGCTTCCATGTTTTATTGTTTATAAATTGAATTTCATATTTTAGTTGAAACCACTAACTGCCAGGCCTAACCTACCATACCAAACCAGCCCATATAAGCATATAGTAAATTACGTTGAAGTGAGAAAATTTCAAACTGATAACCACTATCGTTTTTCCTCCTTTCTTTTGGTGAAGCAGTTAGCTATTTGGTGAGGTTTAAATGTGACAAGTAACATGCTAAATTTCTGATGAAATTGGACTGTTATTGATAGGTTTTCTTTGTGCATGTATTTCATTTCTCAAGAGAAAAGTGACAAGAAACATTCTAAATTTCTAATTAACACTGCATTTGTGCATTTTATGTTCATATATTGGATTTATCTAAATTTAAAATTACATATAGTACCACATTACATTTATAAGTTGGGGACTTGATGCCACTGTAAATTCTTTGGGAGGCCGCTTTATTAAAACAGAAAATTCTCTGTAAGAATTTTTCAATACTTTCTTTTTCGAGAGGGGTGAGTGTGTCTGGTGGTGGGGGTGGCCACCTACTGTCACCTAAAGATCTGCCCCTGTTTCTCTCTCTACCACATGCTGTTCTTTCTGTAATCTGCTATTGCCCTCTGCATGGTGCTTTTGAGTAAATCCTTGCATATTTTAGGTTCAGTCATGAGTCAAACTAATTCATATTGTTTCTGTGTTCTGTTTTATTCTAGTCAGTTGGACATACCATTTGTTGATATCAGTCATCAAATCATGTTTCAAATATTAATACGAGGGTTTTTCTCTTTGGATGGAAAAAAAATAAAAAAGAATTGAAGGCATAGCTGAACTGTGGATTTGGTAGGGCTGAGATCTGACCGTTTTGCTAACCAGGTTAGTTGGACCCAATAATCTAATGTGAAAAAGACCTATAAGAAAGTGAGATGAAAAATATGGACCATTGCAGTGTAGACATGAAATAGATTGTTAAAAGAACAGAGTATTCCTGTATGCCAAAAAAGAAACAGAGTATTCCTGCATAAAATCAAATGTCAGCCAAGTTAACACTCACAGGTGGCTAGCACAAGTGTCATTGTTCAAAATAATTTCCGTTAATTTTTTTTTAAACTATTATTGAGTCATTGAAGTTAGTGTGAACAATTCTCTTGATATATTACAATACACATCTTTGAGGTCTTATGTTTGTGTAGACCATTAGCTATGCAGTATTCTGGCTAAAACTAAAGGAAATTCTTAGCCTGCTTGTTGCTGTTTATGAAACTTGCACTTGTTTTTTTACAGGGTCTGAAATTTATTGTGGATTCTTCAACTGAAAGCATCAATGATTCTGGGGTAGATGCTTTCATGCAAAATGGCATTAGCAGTTTGGATAATAAGCAAAGATCCTTACAAAGGTTTGAAATAGTTGCTTAATTTTGCATCCAACTGCTTAACTTTTCATTTGAGTTGAGTCTACCAAATCTGTACATATTTGGCCTCACTTCTTAAAACATCTTTTGTCACAAAAGTGACTTTTCTGAAAATTGTTTCCGACTTCTGAAAAAGCTCTTTTCAGCTCCTCTATGCCAGAAGTTGAAGCACCAAACATTTGGCTTCTGGAGTAGAACTTTTGCTGCTAAGCTTTTGAATTTGATAATTTTTATTTATTTCTAAATTTTTTTGATGATTTTTATGTGAATTCATGGTTCAACACTTTTGCAAAAGCTCTGTTCAATCACACTACAACAAAAGCTACAACCAGGCCAAACAAGCTGTTTAGCTAGCTCGCAAAAACCAAGTGAGAGCAGTGAGCCCTTTGACTAGGGGCAACTCTAAGATCAAACACCCACCATTTTAAGCTAGTGAGGCCTGAGGTAGACTCATGTTTGAGTTCCCCATCCCTGAATATGAAAAGAGAAACACGTTCTTTTAAAGCAATCTTTTTGTATGTAATTTCGGTACTGTAGAAGCTTGTCTCCATTGTTCTCATTAGCTGAGGAAGTTGCAGATAGAATACCATGGTGCTACGTGTTTTGATAGATGTGCTTGCTTACCCAATTTTCCCATGCAGGGCTGTTCCAAACAAGGCGTTGATCAAAGCTGTTGCCCTTTGAGAAGATTTACCTGTGTAATCATGCAAGAATGGGTTTTCCAAATCAAAATTAACTGTGGGATATTGGGTAACATCATATTAGTTTTTTTCCCTTTATGAACTTAATTTAAGTTTGATTATCTTCTTCATTCTTCGTCGTTTCTCATTTCTCATTATTTATATATATAGACTTGTAATTAATAGTTTCTATTGGCTTCATTCTTTTATGAAGTCAATTTTCATAGAACCATGTAATTATAAAATTTTGGTTTATCTGTATAGCATAATTAAATGATTAATTCTTTAACTAATTCGCTTGCATGCAAGCTTTTACCTGGTTTCAGGCTGTTTTTGTTTCCCTTTTTACTCATGTTATATAGACCAAATGAGATACTATCTTCCCGAGAAGATGTATCTTCTTTGCACTGGAACTACCTTATCAGTACATGCGGTGATATAAAAATTATATGACCAAATCAGGCTGTTTTAGTTTCCTTTTCGATTTTTCCTTTCATGAAAAGCTCACTACATAATGAACATATTTAAGTTTTCCTCTCATAAAATATTCTCACTATTATCATCAATTTTCTAATATCATTGCTAGTCTCTTGAAATTCTCTTCCTACAATTTATAGTCCATTGATTTCTTTTCAAACCAATGTTGATAAAAATAAAAA